CTGGCATCATTACAAAGATTATTTTTATCTTATATTATAAAGGTTGTTGCTTAAAACTGGTGTTTCAGAGATTTGATATTTACATACATCTGACATTAAAATTTTTTCATGAATTGAATGACACAAATATAAATATATAGTAGTTCTGTTGTTTTGTGTGTTTCCAGTATCAAATGTGACCTTTTTTTAAAATGAATTCATTTTTTTGTCACCCACAATTAGATCCCTAAAAAAGTCATGACATATTTATTGATAGTTTCATGTTACATCACAGAAATGATACAGTGAAAACATCACACACACTCACACTTGTAAACATTCACATACTCATATGTGAGGTCTGTTTGAAAATGTTGTTCACTTGTTGTTCCCACGCAGTCGTACAGTAGTCACAGTTTACAGTGAAACAAAGTTTTTGTCCAGGCTGATATAACAGTCTAATTTAAGTGTTTCTTTCTATACCGAGGCAAGAGCTGAGTCCTCATAAACTGAACAAGGCGAGTTTCTGTGAATAGAACAGCTGTAAGAACGCCAAGCAGACACGCTGCTCCCACACCGATATGGACCAGCCTCATCAACCAGCCGTTATCACAGCAGAAAACACTCTGAAAACAGAATAAAGCAGCTTGTTTGGGCCATTGATTTGTACAGGTTTTTAACACAGATCATATAGAATAAAACAGAAATGTATAAGTCAACATTTAGTGGTAAAACACAAGGGGAGAATTAAGAGACACTGTTTTCTTGTACCTCAGACACTGTTGTGATGCTGGCACTGACAGCTAGTGCCAGGAGTAGGAGCGGGGAGGGCAACAGGCCTCTCAGAGGTTTCCATTGACTGAACTGGAAGTAGTGGTGTATGTAAAGCAGGCTGTGGAAGATGCGGAGACCCATGTTAAGGCAGTTGGCCAGTATGAAACCAAACCTGCCTACCCACCATGTCAGTATGTAAGACAGGAAGAGGAAAGACACAGACAGAGCCAGCATCACCAGGTTATACCTGAGGACAAAACACAAACACCATGTTACATGACCAGTTATAATGCTGTGCAACAACAGTCTCTGTGTGTATTACTACATTCTTACTTGTCAACCTCTGCTTGGCTCATGGCGGCAAATACAAAGCACTCTGTTACACCATTTACAGCGAGCAAGAGGACGTAGCAGCTGTAGTATCGCAGCAAAGTGGGGCCTATAAGAACACCAAACAAGAGAAAGTTATATATTGTGATGTTTCATGTTGGTGACTGCTGTGTCTGGATTGTAGCTCACTTACCCGCTCCACTGCTCAGTAGAGAGCCACCATAAATGTCCAGAGCCAAGTGGGAGTAGGCACCGCCAAACACTGCAATAATCAGACCGATCACCAGCACCAGTTTCAGCAGACACTCCAGGACCTCTGCTGCAATGGTAACGTTATCCTATAAACAAAACCCACAGCCTGAGGTAAAACTAACAACAGTTCCTGCCTAGTGTTTCACAAAGACACGTTTGCGTTTATTTCCACAGTTCAGACCTGTTTCTGACTTTTGACATCACGTCCTCTCTCCAGTACTTTGGCAAAAAAGATATAGAAGCTTTCCTCAATGGGCAAGAAGATGAAGCGTGCCACCATGGAGCCCAGATTGTTGACGATATCATAAACACCCTGGTCTCCAAAGCTGAGAACATTCAAGAAGGTCATGACATAACGCTCACCCTCTGTCAGGATCTGCTTCAGGAAGGACTGCTTGAAGAAGCTCCAGGTGAGCCGGGCTAGAGTCCAATCAACTAGTGGCTACAAACAACAACAGATGAGGAATATTTGTCACAAATGGTAAACAGCACACATAAGTCATCAGTTTGATTTGTGGGGACAGATGATAACTAAAAATT